TCTCTCTCTCTCTCTCTCTCTCTCTCTCTCTCTCCCCAACATACATTTTATTCATGACACTAACTCAAGTGTGCGGCCATTCAGAGTTCCGCGAAACCCGAGCTGTTGGGTTGTGTCCTGTTTCTCTCACACAGGTAGTTTAGTAAACTGCGTCGAAAACAAATAAGGCAATCCCAAATGAGGTATTTCAATTTCAACAAGCGTTTTACGGCACTTGTAATAGTTGTAAAGCGCATAGAGCAAGCTCTTGAGCATGGATATGCGCTATATAAATGCAATTATTATTATTATTATTATTATTATCATTATTATTATTATTATTATTATTATTATTATTATTATTACTTGCAACAAAATTAAATCCTATAAGTGTCGAAAAAAGGAGGTATTAATTTTAGCAATGCTGTCACCCTTACTATTCCCGGATATCTGGAGATGTCATCTCTGGCCCAGAGGTTGACGTGCAATGGCCCGACACCATTTACGGTCGTTATCTGCCGTTTTACAACCCTGTCACATCTAGGCCAGTCCAGTCCTTACTTATTTACTTGTGTGAAGGACCGACATCACTGCACAAGGGGCATCCCCATAAGCGCTCCGTCCCCCGAAGAAGCACATGTCAAAGTGTGTAGATGCTGACGGTTCCAAGCAAAGGTTGATTCCATAGCCTTCTGCTCCTCCCACTAAGTCTTGAACTTCTGCAGGCACCCCATGTCTAGTCCATGTCTTGATGCTATCGGTCCACACAACCTTACTAAAGCCAGTGCCCTCTTTCACCACCTATAAGATTGACTAAACATTTCGTACTAAGCACCCACCTGCATACATATAATATGTAGCCAAGAGTGAACCTGCTTTACCGGCCACCGGTCCAAGACAATCACCTGTACAAACAATCACTCCCCACCACCCCTCTACCTCCCTTTGCGTTTATTTTCTTTTCATAATATTAGTGTAATGACACTGTATGAAACGCCCAACTGTCTAAGGCAACCAATCTTCTCCACGACAATGGGTGGCTGATTTGGAAAATTTTGACAGTCACTAGGGCCTTTCTGGGTCACCCCCACCTTCCATCAAAACTACATAACCGGAATCAAGAAAAGCAAGAAAACCGTAAGCCTTGAACATAGCATTAAACTGCATTTAGTTGATGTCGTCAAAAAGTGCATCTTTGATAGAGCTTTGGGAGGGTGTAAAAATCGAAAATTCTCAAAATTTGGACTTTAAAGTGGATTACTTGCGATAGCGAGGATGATCGAAATCCACTTTCTATTCTCAGAATCACCACGCTGACGTCACTCCTTCTGTGTGTGACGTCATACCGGCACTACCAGCTGAAGATCCCAAACGGTAACGCTGTCCCCCACCCGTGCAAAGCCAACTACATCTGGAAGGGCGTGGGTCACTTCCAAGTGGCGGGGACAGGCGTCAGGAACGTGTTTGGGGAGGACTTTGCCGCCGCCGGACATGTCAGTTTGGTTTTTGTTTTTCGGAAGGCTGTTCAGATCTTCTAAGCCCAGAAATAATTTTTTAGGGAGAGAAGGGGAAGGAGG